CCTCAACACCTTGGCTGCACCTAGAAATTTTGTCCATGAAAGTTATGAACAGAATTGGTGACAAAGCACAACCTTGGCGGAGTCCAACCCTCACCAGAAACGAGTCATGCTCACTGCATGGCGCACACTTCAAGGCTTGAATAACATGGTTCCCACCATGTCGGACACGAGCATGCTCACCAAAACCAGTAGCTCCAGTTTGATCCTCAACCGAAAAACAGGGCACGGCTGATATTGATCCAAATAGGCAACAGGGAAGCTGTTAGATTAGTCAAACAAAAATTAGAACGCCTCACTTGTTAGATTAGTCGCTCCGTCCCGGCTCCCACCGCCACGCGTCCAGGCCGACAAGTCCACCCCAGGCGCTCCGTCCAAACACAAGGGACAGTCCGAGGGCCGAGGGACTCCATCCACATCCGCCACTCCACCGAGACACGCCGCAAAACCAGCCCAACCGGCAAGGTGGATGATATTTACCAAAGTTAGGATAACTTATGGCCGATGCTTGTATACACGCCATAGGACGCTTGTGTGCTGTTGTTTTTCGAAAATGATGTCCGTCATTTGCGTCTTTGATCTTCCGTTTATGTAGCATACAGAGTAACAGCAACACTAAAGCTGAGGTAAATTTGGTCAAAAACAGACCTGCAGATGCCTGTAAAGCCAAATTGGATGTATTTTCCTGCAGGAATACTGAACAGCTACATACATCTGCCGCCACCGCCGCCATCTTTGAAGTGTGAAGTGTTTCGTCCACGTTTTGGTCCTCCTGGTGCACTCGGACCTGCAGCTCTTGCAGTTCCTGTTTCTGAAGCTTCCGAGCTCGCTGTTATGACGCAGATCTGTAGCGACGCCTTTCTGTGTCTGGATGAAACACTCCTGGTTCAATTATTTCTAGTTGAGTAGTAGGGATTCCCTTCATGAACCACTGGAAAATGAATATAAAAGTCTGTTAAAAATCTAAACAGAAACATGAACATGATGCCCGCGGCAAGTTTAAAAGATCTGTGACTGAGCACAGTAATGGTGCCACAGACAACTGAGCCTTTTCCTCCGTCAAACCCTGAAAAACAGATGGGAGCACTTCACACTCGGGATTATCAGTGAAAATCAGTTTATTTGACAGTTTAGACAGCGTGAAGAACTGTGTAACTGTGTAACATCAACCACTATTTTCCAGTTTGCAAGAGATTGACTTATTTATGATAACAAACCCAAGTGAAGACTTTCCAATGGAAGAACGTCGACCTGTGTTTTATGAGTCAAGCAATGTAAAAACAACTAAACTTAACTACGAATTATTTAAAGTTCAAACCACAGATCTTGTTGTAGTTTAGGCAATAAAAAGATAGAGGTCAAAAATATTGTAAGTATGCAAATCAGTTTTTTAGAATAGGTGAGGTTTCACAACCCTTCAGTAGTTCACAGTGTAGAATTTAAATCTATTCAAAACATTTGTTCAGTCCAGACAACAAAGAAGATGTTGAACATAATCAGGTTAGATCACTGAGTTTTTGAAGATGTAATTCAGTGTTTTGTTTTATTGTTGGTTTAACACCATTATTCACAAGCTGTCCTCTTTTAGAACACAACTGTGTTGTGACAGCAAAAAAAAATTAGGGATGCAGGATAACTTATTTTAAGAGCAGATACCGATAACCGATAACTTTCTCCTTCTAATGGCAGATAACCGATAATAACCAATAACATGCAAGGAGATACGACTAGTCAAAAATGGGTAAGGTCATAACATAAATAAACAAGACCAAAACCAAATGACACTGTAAATTACACTATTTGAAATAAACTCTTAGCAAACAAACATTTCTTAAAATATATCAAACAAATCAATTTCTCAAATGGCCAATGTTTTAAATAAGGCATATCAATTATAAAAAGACCTTTAACACTGATCTCAGATTTAAACAAAAGAGGAAAAAGTTGGATTCAATGTACATTTTATTATTATTATGATTTCAAACATTTTTCTACCTGAAACAGTTCTTCTGAGCTAATAGTGCAGAAATGATAACCYGTCAATCAAAGTGTGAATGCATTACGACCGCATCATAGGAAGACGCACAGAAAGCAGCAGCTCGGCATGGTAAACCGTGGCTAACAAGGAGATAAAAGCTTCGGTCTTTAGCGAGAGTGAACGGCTGGTTGTCATCATTTCCATCATTAAAGTGCTTGAGATCTGCGTCCTCTTTGGCAATTCTATTGGATTTGTCAAAAGCCTCAGCAATGATTTAAGTCCTGACGAGTTCTTGAACGCTAGCTTGTTGTTGTTAGCATTTTAACAGACAGACTTTGTGCTGCATTCAGGAGGTAACGGACTTTACACGTTCTCAAATTGGGAGTAGTTGTTCCGATGTTTATAATTATAAAGTTTGTGTGTAACATACAGGGTTAATTGGTAAAATAATATTAATAAATATAAAAATGACTGGTTGTTTTTCAACACGGAGTATTCTAATGATTGTTCTAGTGAGAAAGTTGTTTATTCCGATGCAACTTGAACGTTGCTCGGGTTGTGTCRGACGGGAAGCGGCTTGACGAAAAAAGATAAAAATAAACACGCATTCTCATCGCTGCGCTGGCAAACATGTACATATATTATCGGTACTGTTTGTTATGATATCGGACCCATAAGTATGACGTCATAATTCCTTGATATCATGCCGATAACTATCGTGTACCCCTAAAAAAAAAAATCAGACTTCATATTTTGTGTTGCTACAAGGCTGGTGCTGAATCCAAAGAAAACCCTAGCTTTAGGTATGAGGAGCTGTCAGAATTTTTTTAGGCTTTTCCAGGGATTCTTAAAAGATCTGCAGATAAACTGAGAAGTCAGAAGCTCAACTCGTTTCTGTCGGAGCAGGTGCTTTGAAACATTTTAAATGACTTCCAGTTTTATTCACTGTAGTTTGCATTCACAGCCACACATGCAAACTAAAGGATCAAGTAGCAACTGTTTTGTTTTCTCACGTCATTTCAGTGCTTTTGCATAGAAGGACAGGTCTCTGAGAAACATGCCGTTACAGTTTGGTTACAGCAAATGCAACTTTCTTGACAAACGAAGGAAAAAAGAATTCAGCTTAGATTATTTTTAGCTGTTGAATGCCACTGCTAAGATGGATAAAAAGTAAACAACGTCTCCTGTTTTGAACAGAATATCAAACATTTTATAGGGAAAAAGAAAAACTCAAGAAAACCTACATTATGCCTTCTTAAACATCTCTCACTTCTTCCCTCCTTCATCTCCTCCTCCAGGGAGCCATTCTCACCACCATGCTGGTGTCCAGAAACTTCTCAGGTGGGTGTGCCCTTCGCCCTCAGCCTCCCACGCAGCACATGCAGAGGGAGAGGAGGAAGGAGAGTGGATAGAGTCCTCTGCACCTCTTTTAACCCCCTCACCACACACACACACTCACCCACTCGTCCTCAGAATAACAATATGCCTTTGTGTGCGTGCACACTTGCTAAAAAACAAACTGAATTGAATATTTCTGAAATAATGTCTTAATTTTGACGGACTATTACATGTGCGCTGCATCCTGTTTGTAATCAGCCTAGAATATGATATTCTGTTATGTACCAGATTGTGAGTGTAAGTTATGTCCTTGTCCATGTTAATGTATCTCTCCTTGTGTGTCTGTTTGTGTGTGTGTGTCCCTCTTTTTCTGCTGCACATGGAGCATTTGCATGTTTGAGAGAAGAAAGACTTAATTAGATTTTTTTWAAATGTTTTTGGGCAAGTATGGTGTTTATAAACAGGTGAAGACTAAGAATCTTGTTTATTTTTATTTCTCTCAGTCAGCTGAGAGCGACTCGTTTCTGCTGAAAGGCTTGTTCTGCGTCTCAAATTAATTGGTCAGTCGATGGTTAATGATTTCAAGCCTGGGTCTGGGAATCCACAGGAGTGCACCTCYTTTTTGCTTCAGCCCACTTTTGTGTCACAGCGTTGGACGCAGGTGGGCTGCGGCCAGCAGCGCGTCCCTGTGGTTTTTCCAGACCCACGCCTGAACGTGGTGAGACAGACCTGCCTATTTTGCATAGCTCCTCCCAACTGTAGCATTTCTGTCCAATAGTGGGCCGGCAGCATACCAACTCTGCTGCTGCCGCCTCCTCCACGGCCTCACTGGCTCAGGAAGGTACGTCCCAGAGACACGCCCATCCACTTCCTCTCTGCACACACTGATCTTTCCTGGGGAGGCCCTTAGTGAAGGGTGGGCCCTCATCATTCCCCAAAACTCTTGCATGCAGCCTCCACCAGCATCCTCATCAACATATAAAACCATGCATGCTCACACATCATTGCAGGTATCATGGATAAGGTTTTGCAGTTTTTTTTTCTTGCAAAGTCAAACATGAACATCAGTTATTGCAGTTTAACTCCGCATCCATACCTCACCTCCAGTCAACTGCAAATATTTATTTTTATTCTTATTTGGTCATTTCTGACACAACCCATACTGATTTCCATCTGACCCCCCATGCACCTGAGCCTCCTACAGCCCAGCCTCACAGGCCTGGCTGTGGGGGCAAACAGGGGCAGGGGATGAGGAGGGGCATGTATCCTGGGGGCGGGAACTGACACTGCAGGGGGCTGGCAAGAGCTGGGTTGGCGTGCTGCCATCGTCAGACCTGTTTGCGGCGGGAGAGAGGACACGGGTGGATGCTGAGGAACTCCACTGAGACGTCCGTCTCGCACACGTCTCATCTCCTCCTCTCAAGGCCTGTTTTAGTACTTTCACGCCTCTATAAGCGGGAGTTCCACAAGCTAACGCGATGTCCTTTTGCTGTGAAAGTACTTAAAATACGGCGCTCCTCTCCTCCTGCCGGGTGGAGACTTGTGGTAAAGGTTGGCGATTCCAATGGTGGCTCCTTGGATGCATTACTTTAGGAAAGAGTGTAGAGCAGAATGGATTCTCTTGCATGATTTGACAAGGGGATCTCTTTTGCTCTACGTTTCTTGTAAAAAAAAAAAAAAAGCTCTGTTAAAATAGGAAGAAAGGTAAAAAATTTTCCAGGATGCAGGTCAGGATGTGTGACTGATGTGCTGAGATCTGGGGTGTTTGTGGTGCTTTGTCAGCTAAAGCCCCTGCAAATACGGGCTTCCTCACAGAGACTGGACCAAGCTGCCTCTTTGTAAGTTTTTGTTAATATCCTGTGTGACGACATCACTCCAGATTTGATTCATTTCTTCTCCTTATTAGTCATCTAGATTTTTTTGTTGTTGTTTTTGGTCCTTTGATGGTGTCGCTCATGACTGCTAAATCTGAGCACTATTATTTTTAACTAACTGCTTTTTTGCACTTTTTCTTTTTGTAAAGTTTGGCCTAGGTAGAGCTTGGCAGTTTGCTCATGATGTTTCCTCTAATGACATTAAAGTAAAATATGACACGTTTGTGTGTTTGAAACATTCCTCTGTCTGAAAAGTAATTTTTTATTTTTGTTTTTGCCTTGCTGCCTTTTTGCATGTGGGTTTCCTGTAAGGGTTAAATCCTACAAAATGTTGTCAGAGATGCACCTTCAGATGCTTTCTAAGAGTCTTCACTTAATCTGGTGCCAAACCGGTCCTGAAGATGRGCGTCTTGACTTGATGAAAGCTTTTAGTTAAAATCATTGACATTAAAAGTTTGGGGACATATTTGGAAAGCATATGAATGGTGCAGCCTCGCATTGCCACAGATGGCAATCTTTTGGCTGTTTGGTTAAAGATGTAGCTAAATAACAAGCAGAGCTGTTGTGTCCTGATCATTCAGCTCCTTTTTTTAAATTTTATTTTCTCCTGGTTGTGGACTGAAAACCTGTCTTTTCTCACATATACCTTTTCTCTTTGGATGCTGCACGGCCAGGCCAAGATAGTAACGACATATCAGCCAAGATTAAGGAGCATGAGTTGTCACTTGATATTGTATGCCGCTGCGAATGCTGTGGCCCTTATCTTTACTCTCTTGTGAAATTCTAACCCTACCCCTTTCCGCCACCCCCCCTCTCCCATTTCCTATTTGAAGGTAAGAAACACAAGATAAGAGTTTTGGAAACTGTGAGTGTGTCTGTAGAAAACGAGAGAAAAGAAAGAAAGTTGAGATCTTTAGACGGAGAGGAAACTGGCTGGAGCCCTTAAAGGAAATCAATGATTTACATTAACCTAGCTCATCACTGTCAGTGCTGGCGGCAGTTTGAGTCTGACAATCACTCTCTTTTTTAGATCTGCTGGGGTCTTCCAGACAGGAAATGGATTTAGGAAGTTTACTTTGCTCTCAGGTTTCTCTTTTATTCCCAGATGGCAGTGAATGGATTAAGATGTGTATGGKTTTGTCGAGTGTAGCAACCTGTTCAGCTGAGGGAAAATTGCACCAGAAGTCCATTAAATGCATGTTGCTCTGTGGAAACATCTAGCTTTACTCTCTGTCACTAAAGGGATAGTTAATAGGGTTTTATAGATGGAGCAGTTGTGGGTTCAAGTTTCGATAGAAGCTACAGACTGGCTGAATGAACTTGAAGGATGTTGTCAACTGAAACTCATTTTTTTTACCTGTTTTTTTTTTTCCCTCCCCTTGTTTCCATCCGTATTTTCACAGCATGCAAAAGTTTACTCAACAAGAAATCTGATTCTGCCAAGGTAAGGTTGTCATCGTTGTGACCTCGGTCTTCCCTTTTCCTTCTCTGCTACTCCTTTGTCTAGCTTAGATTTTCTTACTTTTATTTCTAATAATGTACATTTAATTTCGAATATATTTCTCTAAATATTTATAGGCTTTTAGAGCTCTTTGTTTTTTTGAGTTTCTCAACTTTTCTCTGCATGTTTTTAAAACTCCAAAATCCTGTAGTCCCATCCACGAGCTTTAGAAAACCTTGCTTTAACTCCTCAACATGTCATTCTGTTATAATTTAGTTTTTTTTCCCTTAAAGCAGTGGTTCAGATCATTTGATCTACAGAGTAGAAATGTTATGAACAGTTGAAATCATACCTGTTGTTTAGAGAAGCAGAGTTTAATTCTCACTGGACTGAATGCCTCTAAGGCTGGTGGAATGACAATCAGTGAACCACAATGATTAGGATGGAATTATTATTAATTTATATCAGGCTTGGGTGGTATGATGGTATTTTGGTATTAAAATATGGTAACAGTATTTAGAAGTATGACACTATTAACGACGTGAGGTGATGCTTCAACTTTMCACAAGCCTGCTGTAAGAACTGGGACATAAATATTCTAGACTCTTTTCAGAAGACGCCTCATAACATCACTGACGTGTTCTGAGCCCCTCGGCTCATTCAGAAGACAAACAGAGGAGGAGGGGGGGACAGACACCCCTGTCTGACTCAGCTCTTAACCTTCGAGCAAGGTAGTGTCAGAAACTTTACTTGCCGACTCCTGAAAAGGTGGGCCGTCCTGTGCTGACTGACGGCTTCTGGGACCACCCAGCCTTGGGTTTCTTAAGTCAAACCACCATAACTGGACTCCTTTCAAAATTAAACTTCATTAATTTTGAGACTCGTGAGCTGCTCGCTGCAGAGGAGGGAATGACTACAAACTTTATCGGCACACAGACTGGGTACTAGGGTTGGGCGATATTGGCAAAATAAAAAATCACAATTTTGTTATTTAGCTGATAAAGATTAATATGACAATTGATCCCCTGGAGTCCCTGGACGCCCTCATATCCTAGTCACATGACCAATTTAAATCACTCTAGTGGGAAAGATTTGCTCTCTGTAAAAATCTGTTCCAAATACTGTCAAAAGTACAAACTTCAGACTACACATCAGTTTTTAAATTGTTGATAGACCAAGTAAAACTGGAGTTGTGATAAGTAAACGACAGAACTTTTTTTTAAAATGGTGTTAATCATATTAATCGTCAAGTGCAAAAAATATTCTATTAAAGTTTTTCTGACGATAAATTGCACACGATACAATTTTGCCCAACCCTACTGGGTACAAGTGAGCAGCAGCACAAATAAGACCTTAATAAGAGTTGGATTTTTTTTTAACTTAAGACCCTTAAAAATACATATTGGGCACAGATCAAAATACTTCCAAGAGTCATTCTGCGACTCCTCTCCTGCTGCTCTCATCAGCAAGGTGAATGAGAGCTGAGTTATTTTCCACACCTCTCTGGCTCTAGAACATCAAGCTATTTGCCTGTAGAGATAAWACCCCGTTATGATAAAGATCAATACCGCCCAACCCCAATACTACTCAGTGTTTGTACATATAGGGCTGCAGCAGCTTAGTGGTTGGTGCAGCAGTCTTGTGATCTTGAAGCTGCAGGTTGCATCAAAAGGAACATTTGGTAAATAAAAAAAAAACAATTGCCAAATGTGTCGTGCACATTTGCTCGCTGTAGCGACCAATGCAGAAGGCAGCAGCTGAAAAAGGGTGGGGGGGAAAAAAGCTATGTGTATCTAAAGGACAAATTGTCTGTATACAGTCCAGTCTGAAATAAACCCTCTAAATTGAAGATGTTCAGAGCGCTATCTGCAACAGGTAAGATAGTAATTCTTCATACCTCTCCACAGAATGCATCTTCAAAAGCTCTGAACTATCCCTTTAGGGCTGTAATGGTCAGACTTGTGCTGCTCACTTTCCAGGCAGTTTCCCATTAGTCTCTGCTCTCCTCCTCCTCCTGCCCTCCTTGTCTATCTTTTCTGCCCTTGGGCTTTTTTTCCTGTGTTGTTAAGTGGCACAGGCATGGAGAGTTAGTGAGGCAGTAAAAAGGATGATCTAGAGGCCATTCTGTGGCACTCACCCTCTCATTTATCCTGTTAGCTCTCAACAGCCCTGAAGCTTAGATGAACATTAGCCCCATTCCCGAAAAGGCGTTTTAATTCAAATGCATCGGTGTGTATGTTCGTGCGGCTTTCTGTGCTGACTCTGAGTGTTCTCGCCCCAGCCTTCTACCAACAACAGTAAGAACAGTATAGTGAGCGCCATCAATGCCCTGAAAGACACCAACATGGCAACCAACGCCCAGATGGTACAGTAGGCCGCCGCAGTGCCAGTTCCCATCTCTTTACATCTCCCCCCGCCCCGCCTCCCATCTCCAAGTTGTTGCATTATAGCCTGATTTGCCTCATTTTCCATCATCATGCTTGTCCTCCATCTACAGTCCAGGAGGTGTTAGTCCCTGTCCCAACATTCTTTAGCGTTTTTGTTTGTTGTTTTTTTTAATCCCACGCTGCACATGTGTTGCTGAGCTGGATGTGCATCAGACCATTTGGAGATCATTCAATAATCTCATTACTTTAAACCTCAGGCTGTACATGTGCACCTGTGTAGATTTTAAAAGAAGCATGAATTTGTGTTTATACTTCCAAAATGGCAGAAGTAGCTATCGATTTTTTTTTAGAAAAGTAAAAGCACCATTCAGTCCTCTTCTGTAATGACCCATGTTTATAACCACATTCTGTATTTTATCCCTAATGTCTCGTGCTTTTATCCTTTAACCGTCCTGCAGCCATCTTTCCTTTTCATCCGAACATTTTAGCCCATCCATCAGGGTCTTTTTTTTTCCTCACTTCAACTGCTTCTCTTCAGTAACGTTCCTACTGACATCCTAACCATACTGCCAAACTTAATCGTGAGCTTTCTCACGGTTTAGCGAGGATTGGTTTCGCTCTTTCTAGCATGCATTGAATGACATTTTGTAGTGCTGTGGTTGGATTTCACCATTTGCTCAGGCAGTGCTTCTCAACTGGTGTCACGAGTTCTCAGTTTTACAATTACATGTTGACATACTTAATCAGTCTGTGTACTTTTTGGTGATTTGTTTTTTCATAAAAACAGATATTAGGGGAAAAAACAAAAAATGGATGGTCATTCTATTTTAATGGTATACTCCAAAAATGTAAAAACTTTCTTTTTATTGTTAAAGCAAAATTTGTCATTATGTCAACCCAGTTCCCGGTCATATTGAACCTGCTGCTGCTTCAAGTTTCTCTCCATGGACCTCTCAGAGAAAGGCTTCATGTGCTAAAAACTAGGGGTGTAAATCACCAGCTTTATCACGATACGATATTACATCAATATGTTTGGCTGACTTCGATATTTCTCTATCACAAMGTCTGTCACGATATAGTTTTGATTCAGTTCACAAGTCTGCAATTGATATGTGATATCATATGCAGATCTTTTTTTTTTTTCACAATGGCTGTGTTAAGATATCGATTCACATCGAGCATATGATGACGATACAGATCAATATTTTCATTATGCCTCGAAATAACTGAATCATGAACCATTGAAATCGATATAGATCGATGTTTTGTTACACCCCTACTAAAAACACCAGAAACATCAGTGATATACAGACCATCAGGTGACACCTGTTAAGAACTAGTCAACTAGTTATTATTGTGACTGCCTGGTTAGCTAGTTATAAAGTAAAATGTGTTTATTCATCCTTATCAGTCCATTTAAGGTGGAGCTAGTTTAGCTAGACTAACCTCAGACTATTTTTTAAATCAATATAAAGCAATGCAAAAGTAGTTGTCTAGCTTTAAATTATTTGTATACAGGCAGCCAGCTGTTTTATTAAAAAGTTGTTTATCTCCACCTTAAATGATCTGATAACCGAAGTGTCAAAACTTTTCGTTTGAGAAAAATAAAGACCGTTTTCCCGTTGTTGGGGTATAAAATGAAAATAGAATAACCATCTGTTTTTTATTTTTCAGCATCTATTTTTAAAACACAAATAGACCAAAAATACACTGACCTGAATCGAATTGTTTTAGTGTTTTGATTACTTTGGTTATTTTCTGGCCTCGACAAAGTTAAACATCTGATTTTGTGTTTAGAATTTAGATTGGACAAAACATGCGTCTGATTATTGATAAGTCTTTAAAGAAAGAGGCATCAATTTAAAAGAAATTCATTTTAACTGTAATATAAGTAAAAGATAATAGAATTGCCCAGGCCAAACCCAGCCACAGTCAGACCATTAAAACCCATCAACAGGAACGCGTTACAGCTGAAGTGGGCTCAGTTAAAATCCAGTTGAGAAGCACCATTCTAGAACGAAGTTGTCTCAGACTGACCGCCCTGTTCTGTTTCCTTCTGCAGGAATCTCAGAGCACAGTGGTGCACAATCCTCCCGATGGAGTCAAGGTGAGATTCTTGTTTTCAGACACGTCTTAATTATCGCACAGCCCCGTCGGACCGAGCTCAGCCGCTGTTTCTCTCTGTTCTGCTCTCTGCCCCTCAGGGATCAACAGAAAGCAACGCCACAAACGACGAGGAGGAAATGAAAGGTAGGAAAGGTACTCGACTGTTTTATTTCCTTTCCTGTTCTTATTCGCTCACACTTTCTGTCTCCCATCCAGTGAAGCAGTGTGTATTTGTAGTGATTGGCAGGYGCGCTCAGGTTCAACGTGTGTCTCAGTTTTGACTGTTGTGTGTGTCTGGCTACATCTTGTGTGTGTGTTCTAGCGGACAGTTCGGCGCTGAGTCAGAGCAGCGCCACAGAGGAGATGCCCCCACTTCTGCCCTCACCTCAAAGCTCACCTGCCAGTAAGTGTATCCATGGCAAACAGAAGCCTTATGGTCGCCCCTGGCAAGGACCCCCCCCCATCCTCCCACTCCCACTTTGGCTTTTTGTTGTCACTGGCAATGACGTTGTACATGTTTGAGCTCCGCCCTCACTCTGATCCACCAAGCTTCTTTTAGGGTTCCCACTGGTTTCAGATGAGTCATGCCTTTTAGAGTTTTTGCGTTTCGGTTTTCGCTTCTCACCATTTAGGGAAGTCCCATATTCTCAAAGATTATCAAAATATTTTCACTTTTTTGCAACTTGGATTATATTTATTTGRCCCCCGACGATCAAAGAACAGATGAATCCAACTTCAAAAAAACTTTAGGACCATTTTACAAATTTTAGGCGTTTTCCATGCTCTAGTCAAAACAATGACAGACTGATTAATTGTTGTTTTGGCTGGTTTTCTAAATACATACAGTTCTAGTACAAGTACAGTTGTGCTTCGTGCTCTGCATGTTTTTTTCTCAAAGAAAATATCTTATTTGCCATGTTTTTACTATTACACCTCCATTTTGTGTCATCCCCACCTTGTTTTTGGATCTCAGAAGTAGGGGTGTCCTGATTGGTCTGATATTAGCAGTGGTGGGCACAGTTCCCCTAAAGCACTAAAGCACTAATTGGAGAACGAATTTCCTGATTAGTGCTTTAGGGTTTTTGCTAATTTTAAAATTTATTAGTGGATTAGCACTTRGTAAATTTAGAAGCACTAACTGAGGTCTTTAAATGTTATTGAGCAACATTAATGTTAACAGCTGATGGTGAAAGCTGTCACTCATTTTGTTCATATGTTTTACTTATTCACCAGGTGACATATTGACTATATATGAACCCAAATACAGCTGTGTTAAGTCAATGAAAAGAATTAAGAGACCAACATGTGACTCATGTTGTCTGCTGAACAATGTTCATGGGTTGACTGGGTTATTTTAGTGCTTTAGAATTAGCTTTTGCTAAAAAAAAAATTTCAGTGCATTAGTGCTTTAGAATTAGGGGACCTAAATATTTGAGTTAATGCTTTAGGGCTAGTGGAACAAATTTTTAGATTAGTGCTGCTCACCACTGCATATTAGCCAAAAAGGAATATCTGATTATATCAGCCTGCATCTAAAATCACAGATAKAAGCAGCTCATTCCTGTAATCTGCTCAGGATTTATATCCAGCAGCACTTGGATCCAGCATCAATAATTATTGGATTTTTTGAGGTTATTTTTCAGGGTCTTGTATTTTATCTTTTATTTATTATATTTAATTCCACAATACACTTATGTTGAAGTTTAAAAAAAAGTAACCCATTGGTTAATAATAAATAGGACCAGTCTTTCTCATACCTACTGTTGACTATTGTTTACTGTTTGACCTGATCAAGACTTTAAGATTCCACACAACAAAAACAGTAATAAAGCATGTAGGATTTGTTCTGATAGTGGTATCGGCCAATACTCAAGGCAGCAGTATCAATATCATATCAGAAGTGGAAAAAGTTGTATCAGGACCACCATGCTCAGCAGGAATGTGGGGTAATATTGGCCAATCTGCATGTTTTTGACTCCAAATCAGTTACCCTGTGTTCTAAAATTGTACTGAAAAATCATCAAACTAACTCACGTGCACTAATTGGTGTGCTGCATGGAGAAATACGTCTTAGCGTGGCATTGCACAGTGGCAAATATTAATTGACAGTGTTTCTGACCATTAATTGCACGCGATGTGGTTTTGCCCCAGCTCCAGTCAGGAGTTTCTTCGGGTTTTTTTTTTTTTTTTTTTTTTTTTTTTTTTTTAGGGATTGTTATAGCTACTAGGAAATAAAAAATAAAATCCAAGTTGTAATAAGCAGCATGTTTTAGCAGTGATTAACTTTTAAACTGCCGTTGTGTGCGGCACTAAATCTAAATCATTTTCTTCTACAACGTTCCTTTATATTTTAAATTATGTGTTTTACTACCGTCGACTTCGTCGTCCCTTCCTGAAACTAAAACCAACTCAGATCCACTTTCAGGTCACAGACCGAACTGAGGACGGTCAAATAAAGTTGTAGAATTATCATCAGGGCCACTGTGGGAACCTTGAAACCTGTGTGTGTGTGTGTGTGTGTGTGTGTGTGTGTGTGTGTGTGTGTGTGTGTGNGTGTGTGTGTGTGTGTGTGTGTGTGTGTGTGTGTGTGTGTGTTTCTTGGTGACCACTGCATAATTCCTCCTGTCCTGCTAATATGACGGCTCCAGCTGGAGGAAGCCTTGCTTACCTTGCAGCTGAGTGTCCTAAACCTGCCTCCTGTTTCTGTATGGCAGGTCCTGCTGCCCGTCTTGACTTTCCTTGAACCACACAAATCACAGCATCTTGTCTGTCTTTGCATCTCCTTTTGCTTTGTTCTATTTCTTCTATAATTAAATTTGATTCTCACTAATGAACCCATCTTTGTTGCTCTCTCCCAAAATGTTTGTTTTGTATACATTTTTCCTCTTAATATAAATTTTCCTGCTGTTGACCGAACCAAATATTGCTTTTGTGACTCTCATCCTGTTTCCCATTTCTGCCTTTTTACCTGAACATGCTAAGATTTCCCACAGGCATAAGATGGGCTAATAACAACCAATGTCTTTCTGTAGAGCTGATGCTTGATGCATCAGCTCTACAGAAAAAGCTTTAATCTGTATGAACATTGGAGTGAAGTGCAGCAGTTTTACAGTGTCAGCATGATTTTTTTTTCTTTGCTTCTGGTCATCATGTCCTCATATCATCGATCTGCATGTTTTAGTTTTATTTTCCCACTAATTGTTCTGAAGATGCCCTCCCATCCGTTCTGTTTTACAGCATGATTCGTGTCATGAGTCTTCCCTGTTGTCCCTCCATATGTTTTGTTGACCATCCGTTGTGTGTTTTCAGTTCCACCGCATGACGTAAAGCGCATGGCATGGAACAGCACAGGCAACAGCTCCTGTCCCGACTCAGACCACTCGCAGTCCTCCGTTCCCGCCGCTCCAATAGGGAGCAGCRCTGTCGCTGCTAAAAGCAACACTAAGCTGAGTAAGAGCACATCTGCACTGATCGACTAACCCAGCTCTCCCTGCCTTCAACTCCACTGTAGCTGTTGAAAACCAAAACCTTCCCCCTCATCAAACGGTTGATTAGGAGTTTAACCCCCGCTGCCACTCGGATAAAGAAATGAGGAGGGTTGACATTTTGTAGATTTTAAACAGGAAACATTCTTTACATAACTGATTCTTACCTAGAGCAAGAGGGAAACTTTATTATTATTAGCAAATTAAAAATAGTGTTTGATTAGCCAGTTTGGAGTGATTTACAGCTAAAGCATCAGGTTAAAGTCTGATGCACAAATTCTCTAATATGTCGTCTCACTGGTTGTGRCTGGTGGCAACCAGTTTAAGTTTGGTTCAGCACGTTAAAAAATATAATTTATTCCACAATTTGTTTTATATTTATCGAAAACTAATTTTTGTTGAATTTGTTGACTCAATAGTTACTGTAAATTTTGTCACGTGTTGCTCTCCATACATTTGTCATCCATTACTCCCACAGTGTGTAGTTCACATAAACTAAGTTTTAACACTCATTACATTTGTATAAAAGCAACATGACATGTTGTAAAATTTAACCCTTTGAACCCGTTTCACCTCATTTCTTTCTGCTGTTCTCATTTGTTTCCCATAAATGACAAATATCTTTGATAAAACATCATTTTCATCACCTCTGAATGTCTGAATGAATCTGAGGAACTTTTATAGAATATGAACTTTTTCTGACAAATAAGATTAAAGTATCTTTTCTGGATTTGTTCTGGAGCTCGTGTGTTTGAGGTGTATCTGTAATGTTATGAAAAGCACGTCATAAAATAAGCATCAGGATAAATCTGCCTCATCCTGACTGTAGATTTAAGTGTTGTTACACAGCTGTGGTTTGTTTGTGTGAGCCGATGATTATCAGGGCTTGTTTACTTTCAGCTTTCACCTCGTTGATCAGCCAGAGTGAGACTGAGAGAGCTGCTGTTTTTTCTCCAAGATGTCTTCCGATCATTTATACAGTTTGCGTTTTAAAAGCTGATAAATCAGATTTTGGGGTAGAGATATCGTCGACGGCAGCCCGTGGTGTTTGCAGGCAGAGCTGCTTGTGTTTTCGGCCACGGCGCTCACAGCGCAGCGGGGTTTATTGTAGTCAGTTTTCATGTTGCGCAGAAAGCGAGAAGACGAGCGCCGCGCTGCGATGAAGTCGAGCTGCGGCGACGAAGCAGCTTTGGGCCGACGGCCGAGGTTAAAGAGGAGCGTGGAGCTACGGGGTGTGAAGGGAAGGCAGCAGCTGAGGTTTTCAGAGGAAATGTCAGCCAGTCGACTCGTTTGGTTTCTCACCAGCTTCCATCTGTTTCTCCTGTGTTTCCTGCAGCTCGTAAACAGGAGATCATTAAGATAACGGAGCAGCTGATTGAAGCAATCAACAATGGAGACTTTGAAGCCTACACGTGAGTTTTTCTTTTTTGTTCTTTGTATAACATGTTAGAAGAAGAAAAACATTTTTGCTCCTTTTCTTCCTCAGGAGGATTTGTGATCCTGGACTCACCTCTTTTGAACCGGAGGCTTTGGGGAACCTGGTGGARGGCATGGACTTCCACAAGTTCTACTTTGAAAACTGTGAGTTCCTGAGCTGACATGTTCACTGTTTGTTTAGATGTTGTTGGTGGGTGTTGAACACAACACTTAGCTGTTTATTCTTCAGCCCCAAGGGCTTTTCTTGAAGTTTGTGCTCGAAATAATTTGCCGAAATGTAACTGAGTGTTTCGGTGTTTATAAACTACTGAAATAATCTTGGTATCAAGATAAAGCGAACATTTGGAAGATTTCATCAGAAGTGTCAGTATTAAAGCAGCTGTTATTGTTTCAGAGATGGTGAGGATGGAACAGAAAAAGTTTTTTTTTTTTTTCATTTATTCATTCATTAATTTTATTCATTTCATTAAAAAAATAATAAAATAAAATACAAATGACTAATAAAATGAAATTAAAGGCAGCAGAAAGAAGAAAAAATCTTGTATCTGTGCCTTTTCCTCCATCAAATAAATTCAAACAATAATCTTTACGTAACAAAACAAAAAAAATAAAATAAGAAATAACCATCAAATCTTTCTCGAACAAAGAATCCATTCTAGGCAGGTCATTTTTACATTATTTGTTCGAAAAGGAGCAGGTAATTGATCTTTTGATTTCCTGCCCTTCTCAGACTCACAACAACCATTTAAATGTCCTCACACCAAATAAACTGAAATTATTCCCGCAATGAATGACACTTAAATCTTACATTCTCATCCTTAATATACAATTATTTATACATTTTTAATTTAAATAATATTGAGACACCCATCCTACACAACATATTTCCCAGTAAGCTCTGTTTTTTAACTTTTTTAAAGCTGGTTTATGTTTGTACTTTTTTGAGCTCATCATTTAATCCATTTCATAAATCTACCTCACACACTGATACAATAACTCTTTTTTCTTATTCTAATACATTTTTTAAAATTTTCCCTCCTGCCTGAAGTTTTTTTTTTTTTTTTTTAATTGAACAATAAATAACCATTTTAAAAATATAATAAACCAAAAAAAAACTTGAAAACCATAAATCCACATGTGGACAAAAAAAAGAAGTCATTCAGCACAGGATGGAACATGTTTGTACCGTCAACAAAGGTGAAGAAATCTTAGGTTTTAATTTTTTTTTTCCTATATAGCTTGAAAAGACTTGTTTATCAATATTTCTTTTTTTTTAATTACCTGCACACTTATTTTTCACCCTGTCCATTTAAATGATGACAAATTATTATATTTGAGGTTTGGAGCAGATTTACTCAAATCAAATTTTAAAAAGCTTAAAAATAATAAAAAAAAATAAAGAAACTTCACGGAGCTAAGATGAACAGTTGTTGAGATAATTGCATGTGAAGTAACAGGAAGTGATGTCAAAGAATGTCTGCACGTGTACATGTCATTGCTGCAGGAGCTAACGCAGACTGGAGAGAAGATTCAGGGTTCGTGCAGGGTCTTAAAAGTAAAAAATTTGAAAATTAAATTTTTAGGTCTAAAGTCTTAAAAAAGCACAGATTTTCATCTAAGCTCTTAAATTTAATTTTTTCAAGTCTTAATTTCTTTAATTTCAGTCATTCCCGAGAAGTGTTGGCTGCATAAATACTTGTTACCGCCCAAAAAACAAGGAAGTTCAATCATGTCCACTGCTTGTTGTTTAAACATGAGTGTGTTTTCTGTGAGACTTGGCTTAATATCAGTGATCTTTGCACTCAGCTGGAAGCGACCCACAGCAGTCGATAAGATCATCTCATAGATATGAACGTTTCATTAAAATAGTTTAGTGTTCTTCTATTAAATTTAAATATTAAATAGCTAAATTGATGGCAATTAAAGATAAGATGAAACTTTATTGATCCCACAGTGGAGAAATTTGCATATTACTGCAGCTCAATACAGGAGAGGGTGAGAAGAACAAAGAAAGATAAATAAAAGAAGGGAAAAAAACAGACTATACACTTGTGATATACTGTATAATAAAGTACATATACCAATGCACATATACACATATACATATACAAATATACCGTATAGTACAGTAAATAAATGAATGCATATGAAKGTGCATATTAAAAGGTTTCCATGTTAAAATATCTGGGACCATTTGAGTTTTTCTGTTAATGTTTTGTTTTGGTCTTAAAAGGTTTTAAATTGAACTTACTGAAACCTGCATGAACCCTGTCTGATGCTTTAGATTATTTTCAGTCGACACCAGAGATGAAGAAGAGTCAGTTGAAATAATGTTTTAATAAACAAAGACCAGAGACCTTTCTTCTCTAAAATTTCCCCTTTGATGTCACTTCCTGTTTCACTTTTAAAAGAAAATACACCAGTTATGTGACAAAATGGATAAAATCATGTATATTATGCAACGTTTATTAAATATAATTTTTTATACTTTTTRTATGTAGGATATGCATTTCTCAGGTACTTTAAGGTAAGTTTAACATTCAGTAACGTAAGCAGAAGACTCRACACCTGTTGTCTCTCTCCAGTGCTGAGCAAGAACAACAAGCCCGTGCACACCACCCTGCTCAACCCCCACGTGCACCTCATCGGTGAGGACGCCGCGTGCATCGCCTACATAAGGCTCACGCAGTTTGTGGACGCCACGGGCCGCCCTCGCTCCAGCCAATCGGAGGAGACCCGGGTGTGGCACCGCCGCGACAGCAAGTGGCTGAACGTTCACTTCCACTGCTCCGGAGCACCTGCTGCGCCACTACAGTGATCAGGTACAGGCTGGGGAGCCCCGCCCTTATCTTCGTTTGATTCTGAGACCATGAGAGCTGAACTTTAACCTCCTCCTCTGCTTCCTTAGTGGTCCCGAGCCTCCAGTCTGCTGGAGCGCGTTTTGGGGGGCAGTGTTTTTTCAGCGAGCGTGTTTTAAGAGGTGCATCCTCTGCGTGGATTGGCTCGCGCCAGGAGCCCGGCCGGGCGAGATCGCACCCCCCTCTCCACGTTACCAACCAATCCTGTCCCTCCTTTGACCTGCTAGGGGCCGACTGAACACAAGAACCCGCCCCCACCTCATGAGATGATGCATGCATCTGGCGCCTGAATGGAGGGCGCATCTTTGCCCTCTGCTCCTCCCCTGGCAGCCATCTTTTTTTCTGCCTGCCTGTGCGAGATGAGACGTCCCGGGAGAGGAGAGGATATACAGTTGAACTTGTGACAGTTTGAGTATGAGTTATGAATATACTGTGTAAATTATGACTAGATGTACCAGAAACCACCAAATCCCTACCAAGCATTTATCATTATGTAATAAGGGAGGAGCTGAGACGAGATTTCTGTCCATGTTTAGGGATTACCAGGTCGACCGTGTCGCGCTCGCTACCTGGATGTTGAGATGAAGGGAAAMCCTTTTTCCTCCGGTGAATTAAGAGGCGGGGTGGGGCGGAAATGATCGAGTTTACTCAAAGAACTTGACGACGAGAGAAACTTGATATCAGAATCATGAAGCACCAAAGTGTAGAACTTTAGTGTAGGCTTTCTACGTGTTTGTGTTTTTGTTTGTGTGCTTGTTTTTCCAAAAAAAATAAAAGTTGTGTCGTCGTGGGATTGGGAGCAGGTGTTCTAACTCAAGTCACGTGTTTTTTTGTTTCTTTTTTTTTTCATCCTGATCCGTTCTTGTGAATAACCGGAGCATTTGACTCTGAAGTTTATTTTATTTTTCAACTTATTATTATTATTWTTWTTTTTTGCTCTGACTGACCTTATAACCAAGGCTCTTTGGATCTTGATTATAAGCTAAACAAGTTTTCATTTTCAAGAGGGTTTTATCGTGCAGATTTAAAGCTAACCTGTTAGCACGTTCCGTTGTGTGTTTTTATATGCAGTGGAGGGAGAACATCAGTGTTTTTGCACGTTTGCTCGCTGCTTTCTCCCTCGTTTACCCCCACCCCACCCCACCCCCCAGCTTTTAAACATTCTCAACTTTTCCTCATTCCGTCTGCTTTCTGCAAGGGCCTGGTTTGTGTAAAATCACTGTGTAAATACAGTGTATGTATAGATATATGTAGAAAACTGTAATATATGTACATGTATCTAAGAGAGACTCATCCTGTGCATTTATTGGGGGGTGCGGAATTGCCTCACGGCCACTTTAGTTCAGGTGAAATGGGGTTTATTTTYCCCCCCTCAAATATAAATTCCCAACTGGAAAATATTGGATATTTTAGTCACTCTTAAAGAATAAGGTTAAAATAAACATTCTCCAGATGGAGACTAAAACCAAAAGCAGGGTGGAAATATCTGACACCCCCCCCCCCCCCCCCCCCCCCCCC